ATTGTAAAGAGATATTCAAAGCAATGCGTTATAATATATATATATATATATATATATATATATATATATATATATATACACACACACACACACACACACTATACTATACTATACTATAATACTATATACACATCTTATATACATCTATATACTATACTATAATACTATACTATACTATACTACTATACATACATCTTATATACATCTATAATACTATACTATACTATAGGATAATCACATAACAGTAACCATTTTAGTCAATTCTTCCCGATCATTTTTGGGATCATAATATAAGAGAGATTGATGATTTTGTAAGAAAAATTAAAGAATGAGGGGGTATTTATAGTTGAAAATAGGGAAAAAGTATAATTATAAAAAGTTTGGGGTTAAAATAAAGTTGGGGGGTTAAATGGCTATTTTGTAAATAGCCAACAGCTATTTTGGTAGAGGAAACGACTAGATTTTAAATGCCCAAATGGGCAGATTTATTTTTTAAAATTATGGCCGTTGGGACCGTTTAAGCCCGCTAGGACCGGTCCGGTCCCGGTTCCAAATGGTCCGGTCTCGCGAGCCTCGGGCTAAGGACCAGACCACTTGCTAGGCCCACCTCCCTCGGTCCCTGTCTTAAACGATCCCGGTCCTGGACCGGCCCACTTGCCAGCTTTACCCCAAAATGGCCTACGGACCTCCGAATTCACTTCCAGATGCGCTCCCAATACCAGAATCACCATACGGAGCTATTCCTAGACTTAAAATTCCAAACGGACATCGATAATATTGGAATGCACTTCTACCCAAATTATGAAATTCTTCCAAAATGCTAACTTCCATAATTGGCACTGAAACGCTCCCGGGTCATCCAAAATCCGTTCCGAACATACGCCCAAGTCCAAAATCATCATACGAACCTGTTGGAACCTCCAAATCCTGATTTCGAGGTCGTTTACTCAAAAAGTTTAGTCAATTCCTCCAACTTAGGGCTTCCGAAATTCGAATTTTCTTTCCAAATCAACTCTGAACTTCCGAAATTCTAATTCCGACCACGCGTACAAGTCATAATACCTAAAGTGAAGCTACTCATGGTCTCAAATCGCCGAACAACGCGCTAGGGCTCAAAATGACCGGTCGAGTCGTTACAACATGTAACAATTAAATAATCACAACCATTAGGACTGCGACCTATATCAGATGTGATAGACACTTTACAATCTAAGTGAAAAAAATACACAACGAATATACTAAAGATATTCGGTTTGAAATTTAAAAGTATCATTTATAACTGTGGTCTTAGGAAAACCTTGAAAAACATGATTATAAGTTTCCTTTATATAATTCACAAAAGCAGGGTGAGAAGGAAAAGTAAAAGGTAAGCCACAGATAACCATCATTTTTGTTAAATTTTCACGATCTCTATCTTTGTTATAGGGACGTAAAATAGTACCAGAAGTAGGGTCAAACTGTAGTTGTAAAAAGTTAGAACCCTCGCCATATCCACTAGGAGCGCCAGTACCGCTGCTAGGATCCGGAATTTTTCCGGCATCTATTTGAGCTTGTATCCATAAAGATTTGTAGTCCTTACGTAAGTTCCTGGTTAAATCCCCTGTCCCACCACCTTTGATATGTACAAATCGTTGCTTACATTTTTCACATATAGCAAGTCCGTTGACTTTATCATGTTTAAAAAATTTCCATACAAGTGATGTTTTGGTACGTTCAACATTACGCTTACCCCTTACACAAGGTATAGGGGGTAAAGCTCCAGACCGAGATTAACTCTGAGTTGGAGCTTGTGTTGCAGGACTAGTGTTTCATCTAATTCTTCTTCCTCATTTTCTTTTTCCTTATTTTCTTCATCCTCGTTTTCTTCGTCCTCAATAAAAATATCATTGCCCAATTGTCTTTGTAAAGTTTCATGATCTAGTTGTTCTCCGAAATTAATATTATAACATGCGAGGGTTGGAAAAATGAAGTTTCATCAACATGAGTCATTTCATCTATATGTTTTCTAATTCTAGGAGAATGATTAGGATTAGAACTAGGATTAGGATTACTACTACTATTACCTTTACTACTTTTTTTTTATGCCAAATATACTTTTAGGAGCCATAATTTAAATACAAAAGTAAATTAGAAAAGTTAACACAAAAATTAAACACACAAATGAAATACAAAAATAGAACACGTAAAGTAAACACAAAAATTAAGCACTAAAATGATACGCAAAAATTAAATATTAAAATTAGGAGATGGACCATGATTAAATATTGAAACTTGAAGAAATTATCGAAAAATTGCTCCAAATACTTGACAAATTAATTTGAAGCTTGAAAGTTGCTCCAAATATTTGCCCAAATAATTGAAACGTAGTTGATTGTGAGAAAATTGAGAGAATAATATAGATAGAATGCAAGAGATTTGAGAGATAATGATTAATTTTTGTGGGAAAAATAAAGAATGATGGGGGTATTTATAGTTAAAAATTTGGCCAAAGTGTAATTTAATAACTTAGGGGTTAAATCAAAAGTTTGGGGTAGGGGGGAGGACAAATATGGTCGTTTATAGCCATTGGGAACGGCTAAATTTACAAACAAGGTCGTTGCCCAACGACTCTATTTGTTTTTAAAAATAATTTTAAAATTCACGCGGGACGGGGGGACGGGATAAACGGGACGAAATGGGCCGCCTGTCCCATCCAGTGTACCGTTTAACACGGGGCCATCCTGTTTAGAACTAAATGGGCCGGGACGAGACGAGATCGGGACGGGACGGGACGGCCCATTCCGTTGGACAGCCATAATAACAGTGTTGATGAAGTGGCACACCAAATTTGGTGTACCACTATTCACACCCCAAAATGGTGTAAGAAATGATGTTGGGTTGGAGCATCGAAACACCAAATCTTACACCAAAATAGCGTTTGGCGTAAAAAAAAATGGTGTTAGGGTTGGAGATCGTCTAAGTGCACTAGTAGCCGCTTTTGTTGCTGTTTAAAATATAATCAACATTTATACGTAATAATTTTCAAATATACCCACAAAATCCAAATATAGCAACTAAAACCCACTCTTCTTCTACTCACTCTTCTCCTTCTTGTTCATCCTCCTCCTCGTCTTCTTTTCGACGTACTTCTTCTCCGAAGAGCAAAGAAAACACTAACAAGAGATTTCTGGACAACACTAGTATAAAGTTCTCAATAGTACCATAAATTTGAAAAGAATGAAATCATGCATTTGTACTCATACAGACATTAGGCCTACAAAGGCCAATTTTACATTCAGAAAACAGAAATTCACTGCTCATAGAAATATGAACAGAAGCCTACAACAATTGTACTTTAGGACAAAGTTCAAATACCATAGTTCTAACTTCACAACAATTGTAAACCTCTTGCTCGTGGTGTACTCAATCATCAAGTACCTCTCTCTTTCCGGTGCTCTGTCAACAACAACGACGATCCAGTATAATCTCGCTAGTGGGGTCTGGGGAGGGTAGTGTGTACGCAGATCTTATCCCTATCCTGGGGTAGAGAGGCTGTTTCCGATAGACCCTCGGCTCCCTCCCTCTAAGAACTTTCCCACCTTACTATAGGGGTGACTCGAATTCACAACCTCTTGGTTGGAAGTGGAGGGTGCTAACCACTAAAGCAACCCACTCTTGTCGTCTTTAGCAGAATACAAATATATGAAAGTTATCTCTTTACTTTCACAACGAGCCCTTAATGTTTTCACAACACATTAAGGGCTCCCTCGTACCAAACGAGCCCTTAATGTGTTTGCCTCCCGAAGTTACTTTCCAGTTGCGTATGATACACGCTCCAATTATTAACTTTAAAATGTGCCAAGTTTACGACATGTGACTAATTAATTAAGCCTAATCTAATTATCAATTTAATTAAAATTTTGAACTAATACTCAAAAATAAAAAATGGGTAAAACTTCTGTTTTTCCATCTTCCTCCGACAATGGCCACCCCTTCTATCAATCTGGATTTTCGCCATTACATCTCAATTTAATCTTTATTAATGATTCTCCGAATTCAATGTAAATGAGATTTGAAATTAAAAAAAACCCATATGTATCTTTACTTCTGATGCTCTCTAACAACTTTCTTTGAGTTGTACGTAAAATAATTTTATTACTTTCAAATCCAATAATCATGTTACCTTTTTGTTTTCATTATGTGGAAACGCTTTTTTGACTTTGTATTTACGTGTGATTTACAGCATCAAATAGAAAGAAAGGCACTTGAGGGCAAAAAGATGTTAATATTTCGCTTTTATTACTAACAACACGCCTAGTTAAGATCAAATATTTCCTTTTAACGGTAAGTTCTGATAATGAAATTTTCTCCCATCAAGTGGATCTTATTCCTATCCCAATACCCGTACACTCGATCGATATGTACAAGTTTTCGTCAATGGGCAACTAGTTGTTTTTTTCACTTTTAATTTGAAGTAAGTAATTCATGTAAAATAATTATTTTCTTATTTTTTTATTATATACTTAAATCTTCATTATTAATCACTACGTATGCAAATCTTTTATTATAATCCTCACATAATTAGTATGCGAACTAAACGACCCAAGTGAATGAGCTTGAGGTCAAGACTTTTCAAGCTGATTCCATGATATAATATTCGAGGAACGAATTTCACCACATATAGTTTAGCTATAATCATACTAATAAACTTTATACAACATGCAAATAATTCATTGTCATTTCTAGATCTTTCCGTTCATTTATTTTAAATTAAAAAAAGAGGTTAAACTTCGTGGCACAAACTATGACAGCTATATTAAGCTAATACAATTATTGCCTACATAACTACCAACATTTTTTTGTTGCCAGAATTATTATAGTACTAAAAATAAAGCTATTTCAAAAGCGCTAAATTTTTTTTTTAATGCACGAACCTTCCAAATTCTCCATATCTTAGGCACATCACACAAAACAAATGTTATTAATCCAATAAATGAATGATGAATGGCAACAAATATGAGAAACTTAAATTAATAAAATACAGGGGCCACCCAAAAAGTCCACAAATGCAAAGACATTAGAACCTACATGCCAAAGTGAGGGACATAGACGTGAGGAGATGTAATAGTAAGTGTTAACATTTCATTAACCGTTTCTTTTCCCTCTTTACAATCCAGCCAATTTCCAAAAAGACAATCACAAAAGTCTTTCTTACCTTATTTTTCTCTCTTCCACTTCTCTGTCTCTCCTTCCTCTGTCATTCCCCTAGGGAACAAACAAGAATAGAACATTAGGGAAAAGAAAAAATGAAGAAAATAGACAACCCAAGTTTCTCTAATCATGCAGTATTTCGTTTGATATTCCATTGATTTTCTTCTTGGCAATGTGCTATAATGGACCGCAGGACCCTAACGATGAACTGGGATGGTCTTGGAGAAGATGATGATGATGACAACTTCTTTGAGTCCCGTGACCGGCTTTCAACAGCCATTCCCTTTGACTTGGCATCCTCAGGATCAGACGACGATGATGAATTCGAGGATAGCCGCCTCTCCTTTGTCTCGACCCTTTCCTCAGCCTCCATAAAGAAATTCCAAGGGATTGAGATTGAGGCAGTTTCTGATTCTTTCACCAGCATGGAGGACTATGGCATGTGGATGGCTGAACCTGGTGATATCAAGGAACGTCGAAGGCGTCTCCTTCAAGGCATGGGGTTATCAAGCAATAAGGACCTCCTCAAGCTCAAAAGCGCCAAGATTGTACGAGCCATTTCAAGAAAAGTTGAGACCAGCCAAGATTCCAAACCACCAAAGGCTGAATATTCTCCTGCAAAAGAATTAAATCCAGAACAACAGCCATCAGCTTCACAGCCAATTGTGCTGGTCAGGTCGAGATCAGACGGAGACATACAATATTTTTCTGTGAATACCAAGAAAAGGAAAGAGGAGCTAATTGGTGAAATCTCTAAACAGCGGCTCACTAGGACATTTTCAGGTGTTTTGGCACCGAGCTTAGGAATATGCAAATTAGCTGGTTCGGTTAGAATGTCACACAGAAAGAACACAAGTGGATCGTCAATGCAAAATGGCAGTGATATGTCATCCACATTGTCGAATGGGAATCCTGACGTGGGCTTTGCTTCATTCTTCTTGATAAAGAATTTGGACACTGGAAAGGAGTTCATTGTCAAAGAGTCTAACGAACAGGGAATGTGGAATAAGCTCAGTGATCTTCAGACAGGAAAGCAGCTTACCATGGATGAATTTGAGAAATATGTGGGATATTCTCCTGTTGTAAAGGAACTGATGCGCCGGGTAAATGGTTCAAGAAATCATGATGATGAGAGGAAATTAAACGCAAATTCATATTTGAGTAAAAGCTTCAGAAATAGCAAGAGAAGGGGAGTTGCTCTTTTGAAGAACATAAAAGGAGTAGCACATAGCATGAGCGGAAAAATTATTGATAAAGAACGTGAGCAAACGGCGCCTGAGGAACATCAGAAACCAAATAAGGACTCCTCCAAATGGATTAAAGTCCGCCAGCATGGAAAGTCCTACAAGGAACTCACAGCTATGCACTTGTGCCAGGAAATCCGTGCTCACGAGGGCTCAATTTGGACCATAAGGTTCAGCTCAGACGCACGCTATCTAGCAACTGCAGGGGAAGATACGTTAATTCATATATGGGAAGTGCAAGAATGTGAAGTTATGAATGACGTACACTCTGTTGTTGGTGCTGCAAGTACCTCACCTACTCATCCAATGGCTTGCTCTCTCAGTACCTCCCCTGTTCATCCAATTGCAAGGACCAATTCCGACCGGCCTCCTCTGCCAGAGATGGGACATATGGCATCAGAAAGAAGGAAGAGGGGGAAGGTCTCCCATAAGAAAAAGGGAAACTCANCAAATTCCAATTTATGTGAAAGTTTTTCCTTTTTAGTTAGTCCCATTTAGTAACAATTTAACCTTAAAACGCCCACTTTACCCTTAATGAGATAATTTATAGCCACACAAACTTTTATGGCTCATTTTAGACCACAAGTTTCAAATACTACATGTCTTTCTTAAACTTCGTGCCCAGTCAAATACTATTACATGAATTGGGACAGTGGGAGTAATATCTACTACTCCATGCGTCCCAATTTATGTGACACTCTTTCCTTTTTAGTCAGTCTCAAAAGGAATAACATCTAATTTAACTTTATAATGCATACTCTATCCTTAATGAGATGATTTATAGCTACATAAATATCTATGACTTATTTTAAACCACAAATTCCGAAAGTCTTTCTTTCTTTATTAAACTCCATGCCCATTCAAACACCGTAATATAAATTGGGATGGAGGCAATATCACTTATTAAAGCATACATACTAACATGCACTATCAAACTTGGATGCAGCTACTTCTTTCATCTTCGATAGACAAGACTGTTCGGCTATGGGATATTGAAACTCAAAGTTGCTTAAAAATGTTCGCGCATAATGACTATGGTGAGATGCCAAATTACATTGTAGCTAGTTAATAGAAGACTTTAAATGATGATTTCTTCCCATCACTTGCATCTATTGAGTTTATGGTTTGGCAGTTACTTGCATACAGGTCAATCCAATGGATGATGACTACTTCATCAGCGGTTCTCTAGACGCAAAGGTTCGGATTTGGAATATACCTGATCGGAAAGTTGTAGATTGGACTGATCTTCATGAAATGGTCACTGCTACTTGCTTCACCCCAGATGGCCAGGTAGTACTGGTAATTGTATTGGAGCATTCACAATTAACTTCTCGCGAAACTAAAACCGACTTCAAGAATGTAGCATAGTTCTTCAATATAAAATGAATTTCTGTTGTTGCATGTTTCTCCNGACAAAGAAAAAGAGCTATTCCCCCACCCCCACCCCCCACACACACAAAAAAAGGCAAGAGCACAAGGTATGATCTTGAGTATTTTTATGATTCTCAAGGGAAAATGTGAAACAGTATCACTGATATTCCCTTTTTCCTTTCATGAAGGGTGCTTTAATAGGCTCACATAAAGGCAGCTGTCGTGTGTACACTACCTCCGGTAAGTAATGCATCACTTATCATCTTTTATTGATGTGATAATTTCCAGAGGAATGCAGCTGCTGACTTCCAATGTGTGTTTATTCCTCAGAATGCAAACTGGAACAAAAAGACAACATCGACATTCAGCCTAAGAAAAATTCTCAACTCAAGAAGGTCACTGGTTTACAGGTATTTCTCTTTTCTAGAGTTACTACTGTCTAAGTATACAGTCTTCTTTTCCTCAACACCTATGAAAGCTGAACTTGTTTATTTCCAGTTTGCCCCATGGAACCCAGCAGAAGTGCTTATAACTTCAGCTGATTCTCGTATCAGAATTTTTGACGGGTCAGAGATGATCTATAAGTTTAGAGGTATTTTCTCTCTGATATACTCTTTTGGAGAGTTCAAACAACATCCTTGTGTTCTCTAAACCAAGGTTCTATTCTGTGGTAGCATCAGGTTTCCGAAATACAAGCAGCCAAATTGCAGCTTCGTTCAGTTCAGATGGGAAGTATGTCATAAGTGCAAGTGAAGACTCTCATGTCTACATCTGGAAGAGAGAAGAACCTAAGACCCCCACCGGTAAACGTAGAACTTCAGTCTCTGTTCAAGCTCACGAGCGCTTTCAATGCAAAGATGTTTCAGTTGCCATCCCATGGCCAGGTAGTGTAAAGAATGAACCACCACTTGTAGAGATGCACTCAAAAAGGCATTCAAAACGCTTCCTCCCGCCCCCATATCCCACTGTTGGCTCTCCTACAAAAGAAAACCCTGATGTGGCAAATAGTAAAAGACATTTGCCACCTCTACCCATAAAAGTTAATGCATCGGAGAGAGTCCAAAGTAGCCAGGAAGAGGAAGACTTAGCTCAACTTTCTCGGACAGATTCTGGTATTGGTCCCAGTGAATCATTTGTATCAGGTTCTTCATCAACTAGGTTTGGTGATTCACCTTCTATATCTGCATCCAGCAGCTCACGCTCACACTCTTGGTCCTCCTCCTGGTCTCAAGATGGTAGTAACAGCAATGGCAGCAACGTTGTCCAAGCAACAGCATGGGGCATGGTAATTGTGACAGCAAGTTTGGGAGGTGAGATCAGGGTGTATCAAAATTTTGGGCTACCTCTGAAAGCTGGTCGTCAGACCAATCTCTTTAGAGATCTGACATAAATTGTTGTTGAGGGAACAAAGTGAGACCTATATTCTGTTCTTGAGCTTGAAATTTTTCTATAATACTTAGATGTTTAAGACCTAGTCGAGCTCAAGTTACACTGAACAAGGCAGAAGCGATTGGCTTCACAATGTTGATAAGTAAATGGGGAAACGGGTAATTTTTTCCTTTTAGTACCTTTTACATTAGAAAGACCAAGCAGAGATCACAGTGTTCAATGTTCCAAACAATTGAACATTTTAACTTGCAATGTACAATAGCATGCATTTTAACTAGCATTTGCAAAACTTTGTTTTTTTTAACAAGTGTCTCACAGGTTAGCCGTTTCAAGTCACAGATACAAGAGAAAATTCATTGGCACATTTACTTATTTTGGGAACAGATCAATCAACAATCAACCAACTATACCTCAATCCCGTATTAGTTGGGGTCCGCAATATGAATCTTTAGACTATTTTTAGCTGGTCCTTGATCAACTACACCATCATCCTTTATCGGCTAGGGACTAAATATACTTTGTGAAACTCACGTATGACATAACAGATTTAAAAAGAATCTTATAGCATCGCCTGGAAAGGATGATACTAAGCTATCCTTCGGTTTTTTATCAAAACACAAGACAATGCCCTTATGAAATCCAAGGTTAAACTGTTTGAAGAATGAAGAAAGGAATTCTTCTGGGATGTGCGTTTAGGTTATTAGCAAAAGCATACTTTTATTTATTTAATTATATCTCAGCACGCCCTTCACGTGTTGGCCCGATTCTTTTTAATGGGACAAACACATGGAAATTCGAAATGATAATGGATGTTGATAAGACTTAAACCACGGATCTCTGCCTACTCTGTGTGACCATTTTATCTAAAAATTTAAGATGTTGAAAAGAACAAGGTTTTATTTGCTTAATTATGTCTCAACAAAGACGACAACCATTTACCTTTTTATAAATATAAAAAAATGGAGACCATTTACCTAAAGCAACATAACTAGAGATGTTCAGTGATAACTGAATCGAGGATAATTTTCTAACGATAATTGAAGCAAAGATTATCCGATAAAACAAGCAGACGTGAAGAAACATAAATGAAAATACTCATCAAAATATGTAGAAGCTAGTGCAATAACACAGAAATTAGCTGCGCAAAGAAAAGGGCTTTACCCATTTTACAGACTGATTGGTTCTCTTAACTGTCCGCTAATATTGCTTCTGTTGTCGCCCCCAAAATTAAAATGAATCGTGCAATGGCTTCACTATGGAAGAGTAGCGATGGACAGTGAATACAGATTCTTGAATACAGATTCAAGAGGAGAAATTTCAACAACTATCTCTATTTCAAATAGGTTTTTTTCTTCTTTATGTTAATCTCAAATAGTTGTAGGCAGTATATCATCTTATATCTATTCAGACATAATTTGATTGAAGTTAACAAAAAATATTTGGTGTTACGTTGAGAAAGAATATTTGGAAAAATTAAGTTGAAGACTTGTGAGAGAAAATTATTCTCTCCCTCACACACACACACACACACACACACACACACACA